CTAGCCAGTCTTTTCATGTCTTCCACTCTCAGTGGCCAGGTCTCACAACCATAAAGGAGGACGGAGTGGACTGATGAGCAGTACACCAGCCCTTTGGTCGATAGTAGGGTAGGTTCGTAACAAAGAATCTACCAATTTTAATTACTCGAAATCCGCGCATAAATCCCATAATATGATAATCAGTCGCCAGCTTAATGCTGCTGACTTCTGAATGGACGTCTTGAAAGCTGTGTAATGAGAAGTCGTGACCAGTTGAGTGATGTGGGTGCGCTCATCAATGAAACTGGTACAGTAGCATCACATCACGGATTGACGAACTCAGAATTCACGGGTGGTTGATTGGTCAACAAGCTTGGTCTCAGATTCGATCCTTGCCAGTGTGGTCGTTGGCGCGCACTGATGAAGAGTACCAAACTTGGTGGGCGAAACAGCTGTCGATTAGTGCTGTCTGATGCTTCTCAATGATCTATCTATTGGGACAGCGGTTATGGCTCTCGCCGACCATGTATATAGTCCGGGGTGTAATCCCCTGCCCACACACCCTTGATATCAATGGTCGGTCTGCAAAATTTGGGTTACCGATATCACATACTGAAAATTCCATACTTGTATCAAGAAATACGTTGTAGAATCAAGCTATAATCAAAAAAATAAAATAAAAACTGATATTGGTGGTTTGTGAAGAATATAGCTATTTTAAGGAAGAATTACATTGGGAACACATGAATAGGGTTCAGTGGATCTGGAAGACTACAGAGAGAGAAGGATTTTGATCCGTATCACTAAAAGTTTCCAGTCATTGATGATTGTTTAATGTCTCAGGGATCCTGGCCAGATAATCTACACTTCTTCAGCTGTCGACCTCAAACCAACAGTCAAACACTTCGTGGAGTCATATGTGTCAGGTTTTGATTTGACCACCACTTCTTATGTCAGCTAACAGGCGATGGCTTAGGATGCCATCCTAATTTATTTAGCTTCTGTACAACCTCATCGACTAGCCTCCCTTACACTTACCTTACGCCTAACGTAAATATTATTCACCATATTATTGTACCACTTAATACAGAAGGTGGTAACAATTTCCGGCCTCTTCATATTTCCCACAGCCATAAAGGAAAACAAAACAAACTGGTGTCGAGCATACATTTCCCACGCTTGATAGGCGGATATCACATCTATGCCCCGAGATGACGTCTGGGTTACATACTTAAACAAAGTTAAATCTTCATGAAGAACTTATCTAGTAGGAAATTAAGCGTAAATTAATTCAAGTGTATCTAGATGAGTGATTTATCAAATACCTAACATTTTGTGTGCATTAGAATATGGTGTAGGAGTCTAAGAAATGGTCTGTGTGTGTGTGTGTGTGTGTGTGTGTGTGTGTGGTCGACCACACCAGATGAATTCGGTTTCACAGTCTCTATGATTATTGAATTCCAAATATTTTAAAACTGCACTATAGATTTCATCACCAACCCAACAGCTTTATAGATAGAAAATCATTGAAAACCACACCTGGTGTTTCGTCCTAGTTTTGGACTTGTCAACTGTGTACAGACATTATTTATAATACTATTTATTGACTTGAAGTCTGATCCAAACGTCAGTGGAGAAGCGTTAGGAGCTACCCTCTCATGGTTTCCACTCATCAAAACAGGTTTACACGTCATTCGATATTTTTGTATTCTAATCCCAATGTTCATACACCATAGGTTTGGAACCATGGTTTTTCAGCTCCCTAGGTAGACTTGCATGCCCCCAGTCCGGTTGTAAGGGCCAGACGTTCGCATTCTCTTTTCCGCTTTTATGAGGAATATCCCTGTCACGCGAAGGGAGCGAATAGGACTTACCTGATAGAGGCTACGTAAGAGCATTTGGAGTTGAGGAGATCGAACTCTACTCACCGATGACCGTATCGAGTCGTTTATGTGTTTGTGTAGAAGTTGAAATTCATGAGTTATTGAATAGTTAACGCGTTGAGTGGTAGTTTTAAAGTCCTGTGTTCGATTCTTGATTTGTCTGTCCATGAATGACCACTACTGAGGAGACCCAAACGACGACGAAACAGACGTTCAGTATCACTCATTCACCGGTTTTCAATGCTTGTCTGTCTGTCTGTTTTCGACATAGAACTTTACACCGATGTGCACCAGTTCAAGCCGCTACACTCCCTCATTGTAGCACACAAAGCAAGAGAAGAAAGTAGAAGAAATGCATAATAGAGACAGCAGACACAGGGATATGAGACAAAAGTAATAGTAATAACGAAAAACAAAATAGTTTCGTTGGAAATCGTAAGTCACAAGGAGTGGATGCATCTGCGCTATTCACTGAGAACGAGCCATATCACCAAATGTTTCCAACCACTGATGTTTATCGTCCCGAGGACCCCAACCAGTCAGGAAGTCTACACCTTCCTACGTGGCTTAAACTAACTGTTGTAGATTTCATTGACTGGTGCGCGATGTTTTGGTTCTCCCGCCACTAGCTCTTTTCCAGCCTGGCCCTATGTCAGCTAACGTTGCCCGATGTCGAGGAAGGCGATGGCTAGGAATACCTACGTAACACGTGTCCTAACCATCTCAGTCGGTGTAATTTCACAGCCTCGTCGATTGATTTCCGCTCCTTGCCTATCACTCGACAGAAGCCTCACTTCAGTATCACTCACCCTATTATACCACTTCACATGAGAGATAGGACGCAGGCATCTATGATCTATTTCTAAACTAGAAGTCAATGCAGTCCAATCCTGTACTATCATCTTTCATTTTGCGGGAGCGAATCGCATGCCACACATTCGTAGATTGCAGCTCAAGGTGTTCAGAAGACTCTGCATTTTGTCAGCGTCCTCACCTAGAAGGACTATGTCATCTGCATATTCTAATTCAGCGAGATTATTTCCTGGTAGCAAGTCAATTCCTGTGTCTCTGAAGTGAGTTAGGGTTACGTCCATTAGTACATCTATGATGAAATTGAATATAAATGGGGATAATGGGCATCCTTGACGGACACCACTAGTCGTCACCAGTTCAGATGACAACTCGCCGTAAGCCCCCACCTGGCTGCTTGAGTTCCAGTAGAATGCCTTAATCAGTGCAATTTATTTTCTTGGCATTCCCTTTTCGGCTAAGCATCGCCAGAGTACCTTTGTTTTTGTTTTAAAGGCTCCACAGGATCCTTTAACTGACAAAGCTTGTTTCTAATTGAGTTTGTGGGCAGTTTGAATGCCACTTTTATTCCTGCTTTGTCAAGAATTCTACTTAAGACTTCCGAGGTGCGTTCCTTGTATGGAATTACTGCTGGTGATTTAGATTCCTTATTGTTGGTGTCGTCATTATTATTATTATTATTATGATCACTATTATCATTATTTATTTTATTTTTACATTTACTCACGTATTTCCCGACTAATTTATCAGGGTAGTTATTAAGTTTCAGAGCTACTCTTGTATGTGTCACTTCCTGTCTTAGATTTTCTTTGGTACTACTTAGTTTTTGTGCTCTGTTACTTAAACATTTCATCAATCCTATTTTTACTGACATAGGATGGGATGATCGGAAGTCCAAATATCTATTTGAATGTGTGGGTTTCCTGTAAACACACACTAGTGTGTTTAACTTCCCATCTTCTTTCCTTTTTACCTTGTAATTTAACATTGGAAGTTCCCCTGCTTCGTGACTTTCCAATTCATAAGTGAATTGATGTGCCTGCACACTGTAAATACATGTAATAGGAATGATTCATCACCTGTCTCTGATATCTGGAAAATTCTACTACCCCAACGACGACAAATAGGAGAGAACAAAGAAAACTATGAAACTCAAGTTTCAAAGTCTTGTGATTACAATTGATTGGTATGATTATGAACAATAAATTTTGTTCAAAACCTCGTCATCCAGTAAATAATAATACTGTTTCGCTGACTGTGTGATACATCTAATAAACAAACCAATATGGAAGAGCTTGGTATAGAGGTTATCAAAATACTGCTTAGATTGGCGCGTTTTCTTCAAAAACACTGACAGCTAATAAGGATGATAGGACAGTGAACAAGTATGGCTGTAACCCCCCACCCCCACCCCATAGCTAGTTGGCTCAGGATCTTAGGACCGCGCAGCTGATTATATCCTTCATTCACTATTGTTCTGTCTGTCTGTTTTCGACATAGAACTTTGCACAAATGTGCGGAAGTTCAAGTCGCCACACTCCGTGTAGCACGCGAAGCAAGAGAAGAAAGTACAAGAAAAGCATAATAGAGACAGTGAGCAGAGGTGTGAGACAAAGGAGTAATAAAGAAATACAAAACAGTTTCACTGGAGATCATAAGTCACAAGGAGTGGATGCATCTGCGCTAGCCACTGAGAATGATTTTGAGCCATGTCACCAATTGTTTCCAACCATAGATTTTTACCGTCCCGAGGACCCCAGCCTGGAAGTCTACACCTTCCTACGTGGCTTAGACCAACTGTTGTTGATTTCATTGACTGGTGAAGCCAAGTTTTTGTTTGACCGCCGCTAGCTTTTTTCCAGCCTGACCCTATATCCGCTAACATTGCTCTTCGGTCGAGGGAGGCGATGGCTTGGCATACGTAACACATGTCCTAACCATCTCAGTCTTTGTAACTTCACGACGATATAGTCTTTCTAGGCGACGACGCTGACAAAATAGGACAGAGTCTTCTAAACACCTTGAGCCGCAATCTACGAATGTTTGGCATGCGATTCCCTCCCGCCAAATGCAAGCTGATGTTACAGGACTGGACTACATCGACGCCTAGTTTAAAAATAGGAAGTGAAGTGGTTGGTGGAGCACGTTGACCGCTTCACTTATTTGGGAAGTACCATCAGCCAGCGCCAACGGGTTGATCTTTGACGAATTCACTATTGTTAGTATGTCATGCCTTTTTACTCATCGCTGCTTATTGTTTACAAACATTTGAGAATTATATATTTCGCCTTATTAATTATTATTATTATTATTTTTAATGTGTTATAGCCTTGTAGAATTCGACAACTATCAGCCTCTGGTCAAAATTTGCCAGCTTATTCACCTTTTCTACCGAGTGCTTCAATAAGTCAAATAGTATTAATTCATAATCCATCAAATTTGGTAAGTAATTGTTTTATATTATTATTAGTAATTATACTTTTGGGTTCCGAGTGGAACATAGGACTGGCTTCAACAACACATCTCCACTTTGTTTTGTATTCTGCTGTCCTCTTCGGGTGGCCAGGTCCATGATTGCCCATAATCTCTCATCTCCACCTTGACAGTTAAACTGAGTCGGTCAGGTAGGGACATAAAGACTTCCGGGTTGGGGACCTCGGGACTGACTCTAGGAATCAATGGCTGGAGACAATAGGTGGTGAGATGGCTCAAAATCGTTGTCAATGGCCAGCGAAGATGTACTCAGTCTCTGTAATCTTTCATATTCCTCCTTTCTACTACATTACCCATTCTGTTTCACTCTTATACTTGTCAAACTCTATTGATTCTCTTCACTCATCTTCTTGTCTACCTCTGTGTGCTATTTGGATTGTGGCAACTCGAACTAGTGCACTTCGGTGCCAAGTTCTATGTTGAATCCAGACAGACAGAGACAGACATCTCCTCCTTCAACTCACGCTATCTTCTCCATGTCACCCTTGCACCGATGACCCACTCATCGCTTCCCATTGCAATTCCACTCTAGCACAATGACCTGCACTGAGCGTGATGTCATTCGACGGTCTCCACAACGTATGCCCGATTCATCCATTTCCATTTTCTCCTTCATATTTCTTGAGCAATCGGTGTTTGGTGGTTGCTTGGTTGTTCAACACTAGAGTTTCTTGTTGCTAATTCTTCTTCTAGCCAGTCGACTGGTCATTTGAACTTCAATTTGTGGAGCCAGTGAAGTGGGGCAGGTGTTGGAGATCCTTTTCTGACTGACTTCACATTGCTGTTGAAAATCCAAACCTTTAGTCTTTATGATGAGGCGGAGGACAGAAGATTTCCAAACTGGTTTCAGGTTGATGAAGGCGTATCTTGCTTTGTCATTCCGATTCTGGCTGGCTGGCTTTGGTGTCTTCGTATGTTCTGTTGCTTGTTGTTGAAACGATGCTTGCTAGTTAGGTGACGGAGATAACCTCTTTCAAATCTCTCTCGTTGATGTTGATTGGTGCTGGGTGTTGTTGTTGTTGTTGCCGGTGGTTAGTTATCTTCATCACCAGTGTCTCCTCCGTGTCCACCAGAAGTCCTGTCTCCGTCGACTGCATCTCCGGGCAGTTTGTTGGTTCTCGCCTGTAAGTCTTCAAGTTTGTGTGACATTAGGCATAAATCATCCGCCTCGAAATCCAGATTTTCCAAAGTCTTCTAATTGGGTGGTCCAGCGTGCTCCTGTCTCCTCGCTCCCCAATCACAGTCTGACGCATAATCCAGTCAGTCCACCACAATTAAGAATATCATCCATGGTGATAATAGCTAGCCAGCTTATCACTTAAAGCGATTCCCTGAGTTTTCTGGTGTGGATCACTTGATATGTGGCATTATCATATAGCTGGTGAATCAGGTTGATAAAGAGGTTTTGACTAGAGGGACACACTGTTGTGTTGAGGCAGTTTCTAAACTACTTTCTCGGTCAAAACTGTCTCTGTCGAAGGCTTCTTTGAAGTCGATGATGTTGTTGAGGTAGATAGAGGTTCCTAATGGCACATAGTGCTCAACGGACACATTTCCACTTTGTGTTCTGTTTTCGTGCTATCCTCTTCAGCTGGCTAGCTCCACGATTGTCCATAATCTCTCATCTCCTCCTTCTCCTCGCCATACAACCTCCTCCATGTCACCCTCGCACCGACGACCCACTCACCGCTTCTCATTCAGATTCCAATCGATCAATGGCGTGGCTCGAGCACAATGTCATCCAATGGCCTCCTCCTCAATGTATGCCTAATCCATCCATCTCCACTTTCTTTTACATATTTTCTGAACAATCGGCTATTGGTTAGTCCGTTCACTCCCACAGTCACTTGCTGCTAATTCTCTCTGACCGGCCTCCTGGCCATTTGATCTACAGTATGGTGCCAGCCAGAGAAGCGGTGGTGGCAGTTGTTTATAAAAGTCTTCATTTAACCTGTTGGAAATGCTTTTTGTGACACGTAGTGTAAGTTTCTGATCCGTATAGACGAACTGACTGACTGTCTGACTTCACATTTGTGTTGAACAGAATCTGAATCTTGTTGATTATATGCTGGCTGGATGAGTGTTAGTGCAGCAGGATTTCCAAACTGACTTCAAAATGATGAAGCTGCAACTTACCTTTCCGATACCTGGCTGGCTGGCTGGCTGGCTGGTTTTGACATCTTCATTCGTATCATGCCAAGCTGTGGTATAAACGATGCTTCCTTAGATAACTGAAGAAGGTGACATCTGTCAAATCTCTCCTGTTGATGGTGATTGGTGCTGCTTGTTGTTGCAGTTTTCTTCACCACCAGTGTCTTCTCTATATCCACGCAGACGGAGTCCTGTCTTCGCTGCACTGCTTCTTCAACCAGTTTATTGGTTCTTGACTTTACTTCTGCTTTCGACTCTGTACCTAGAAGTTTCTTGCTAAATAAGCTCTCCATGACACAAACCGAGTCCTGGGTCACTAACTGGTTGCATTCCTACTTTTCAAACAGAATGCAGTACACCGTATACAAAGGTAAATCCTCCTCTGCTGTGCTCACTGAAGCTCGTGTCCCCCAAGGGGCTGTACTCTCCCCACTTCTCTTTTCTTTCTTTCTACATGACCTACCGTCTTCAAATGACATTAATTTTGTCAAATATGCTGATGACCTAACTGTATCTTTACCTGTCAAATGTCAAAGTGACTGATCTAAACTAAATCAGCCAGGAGTCCAAGGAAGACGGTCTTAACCTAAATCCGTCTAAATGCCAAACAGTCAATTTCACCTTTAGGCACAAATCTGACCTAAACAAACTGGTTAGCACTCACGAGGTGCGCAACATAGATGGCACTGAAATAGAAACCAAGTCGGAAATTAAATACCTAGGTGTCACTCTATCGTCTCATATCTTGACGATTTCCAAGAAAATATACCGTCTTACCTTCTACATCAAGAAGTTAAGACATTCTGGTGTAACCCAACCCAACCCTTACTCCTACAATTTGTTAACTCCCGTATTCTGCCTATTATTCTCTATTGTTCCCCCTTAGTTTTTCCAGGGCTGGCTATTGAAGAAAGACTATACCTTATTACGTAGGATGTTAAAGGTTGTCAGCAGGGTAAGCAGCTTGCCACTTAGCCAGCTAGTTAATATTCTGGTGGACAGGCATTTGGACTCATGTGAAAAATGGGCGAAATCCATTTTATCTGACTCACATTACCCTCTACATTCACAACTCTCTCTTTATATCTCATCAGGCAGAACCAGAAGCCTATATAGGAAACTATATGCCCGCACTAGTAAGTACAAAAACTCATCCATACTCTACTTAGCTCGTGTTCTGTGCGATAAAGAATGCATCAGGCATGAAACCTTTAACTTATTAAATAGTCAGTAGAACCAATGGATCTCGTCTTTCCAACTCACATCATTTATAGGTACAACGTTTTCTCGCTCTTCATTCTGTATTTATTTTTGTTATGTGCTGTTTTGTTTCTCTCTTCCTTGCAAACTCTACTTAAAACATTCTTGTCCGTTCTTTCACACTCTGTATATCTCGACCATTTTGCTATCGCTTACGCCAGTAAATATGCTAGTAGTATCTACTTTTCTAACACCTTCAAACACTCTGTTTAAATTTTGGCTTTGCTACCGACATACTAATATGTTGTTGAGATAACTTTAATCTATGTAGAACTTTATTTATTGTTAATGTAAAAAAAACTGGATGCAATATTGTAGTAAAATGCTGAGAATTCCATTCTGTATCACAAGTACTGATTTGAAATAAAGCTTATGTTATGTTATGTTATGTTCTTGTCTGCAAGTCTTCGAGTTTGTGTGACATTAAACATAAATTATTCAGGGTACGAAATCCTGATTTTCTAGAGTATTCTTATTGGGTGGTCCGGTGTATTCCTGTCTCCTCGCTCCCCAATCACAGTCTGACGCATAATCCAGTCAATCCACCACAATTAAGAATATCATCCATGGTGATAATACTTAAATCTCCTCGCTAAGTTTTCCGTTGTTGATCACTTTATGTATATGTGACATTATCAAATAGCTGGTGAATCAGGTTGATAAAGAGGTTTTGACTAGAGGGACACACACTGTTGTGTTGAGGCAGTCTCTAAACTACTTTCTCGATCAACACTGTCTGCCAAAAGCCTTTTCAAAGTCCATGATATTGAGGTAGATATATAGGTTTGACCGTCATTCTATGCTTTGTCCCACAAAGACGATGCTTAGAGTTACAATTTGATCCACAGCACATGATTTGCCCCTTCCTGAATCCAGCTGACATTTATTTATTATTATTTCCTTTGTTTCCTAGAGGAACATAGGACTTCAGTCGCACGTGTCCATTGCGTTCGGTACTCTGCTAGAGTTTTCACCTTGCTCCTAGTCTGTCGCCCACATGCTTTCATCTCCTCCTCGCATGACCTCCTCCAAGTCACACTCGCACTGACGACCAAATCGCCGCCCGCCTCCCTTTCAGTTTCCACTCGAGCGATGGCTTGTCTAGTGATGTCACTTGATGGTTTGTCTTTTCAGAGTATGGCCAGCAAATCCATCTCCATTTCTTCCTACCTATTTGTTTCACAATCGGTTCCTGCTGGGTTGGTTCGCTCATTGCCAGAGATCCCACTCTGTTTCTGATCTTTTCTGGCCAGCCATCTGATCTTCAGTAGTATTGAGTGAAGATAGCTGTTGATGAAGGTCTGTAGTTTGTTTGAGGTCCTCTTTAATGACGCGCTGGTCAAGTCTCTGATCCGTACTTATAGTAAGTAGCACTGACTTCACATTGGAGTTGAAAATCTGGATGGTATTTTCATTTTCATGCTGAGTGATGTTGACCTCCACACAAACTTGAGAGTAATAAAAGCTTACCTTGCTTTCCCGATCCTCATTGCTTTGATATCCTCATCAGTTCCGTCCGCCTGTAGTTGAAAGGATGCTATATATATATATGATATGAAGCTGTACTCTGACAAACAATTTTACAAAGTGTGATCAATTTTTCTTTTTTTTTTTCATGTGTTGATAAAAAATATGAAAACAAAAAATTACAAAACAAAAACTCAAGTGCTCGAATGATTCTCTCTCCTTGTTGTACTTACTCATAATGTCATGATTATATATCATGTTCACTTCCCAGCTCTGTTATGCTAACTTAACAAGTCCTTTATGGGCATGTGTGAGGCGGGCATATGGTTGGGTATATGAGCGGATGTGTGTTTGTGTGCTTGTGTGCGTGCAAGCGTATGTAAGCGTACTAGAGTATTTTTAAAAAGAATTAGGCAACACTAGAATGTTAAGTGTGTAATAAAGAGGTTAGATAATAACAGGATTCTGAAGGATGGAGACAGGTAGTAAGGCTTCTCTCTCTCTCAACGGTTTGAATTATAGTGCAAATTTAAAATGACTCAATCAGTTATTGTGACTTGGGCCGTGTATCGTATTCCTTCTTTCTGGTCGTAACATGGTTTTCAGATTTACAAAAATAATAATAATATTTAAAACAATTAGTTCCCTGTATGACTTTAGGCAGACAAAACAATAAGAAGACGCAATTTGTCTGAATCGTGTATTGCGTGTATTTATGCTACACATTTCGAACAATCTGATCTGTCTGTCTGTTTTCGACATAGAACTCTTCACCTACGTGCAACAGTTCAAGTCGCCACCCTCCACTCCCTGTAGCACACTTAGCAAGAGAAGCAAGTAGAACAAATGCATAATAGCGACAATGAACAGAGGTGTGAGACAAAGGAATAGTAATATCGAAGAACAACATAGTTTAACTGGAAATCATAAGTCACAAGGAGTGGATGTATCTGCGCCAGCCATTGAGAACGATTTTGAACAAGCCATATCACCAATTGTCTCCAACCTTTATTAGTTTTTACCGTCCCGAGGACCCCAACCAGGAAGTCTGCACTTTCCTACGTGGCTTAAACTAACTGTTGTAGATTTCATTGACTGGTGCGCGATGTTTTGGTTTGCCCGGCACTAGCTCTTTTCCAGCCTGGCCCTATGTCAGCTAACATTTCCCGATGTCGAGGAAGGCGATGGCTAGGAATACCTACGTAACACGTGTCCTAACCATCTCAGTCGCTATAGCTTCACAGCCTCTTCGATTGATTTCCCCTCCTTACCTATCACTCGACCGAAGCCTAACCTCAATATTTCTCACCTTATTATACCACTTCACACGGGAGATAAAGCGCAGACACCTATGGTCATAGACCTCCAATCTTTTCATGTCTTCCACTCTCAATGGCTATGTCTCACTCACTTGTGTAAGGTAGGACGGAGTGGATTACTGAGCAGTACACACATCCTTTGACCGATAGCCAGCCGAATATCAGGTCCACGCCGGAGACTGCGTAAAGTGGCATATGCGAAACTAGCCCCCTGTATCCGTTCTGAGATTTCGTCAGCGATCAGCCCGTTGGGGCTAGCTGATAGTACTTCCTAAATAAGTGAAGCGGTCAACGTGCTCCTGTAACCACTTCACTCCCTATTTCTAAACTAGGAGTCAGTCAGTGTAGTCCAGTCCAGTCCTGTAACATCATCTTGCATTTGGCAGGAGCGAATCGCATCCTAAACATTCGTAGATTGTAGTTCAAGGTGTTGAGAAGACTTTGCATTTTGTCAGCATCGTCACGTAGAGAAGGTTTGTATCGTCTGCATATTATTCTAAATCAACGAGATTATTCCTTGGTAAGAAGTCAATCCCTGAACTCTCATCTTCCTGCATGAGTTTGAGGCACTTTTACTCGAACTCATGCAGTTTCCATTACAATCCCCTCTATGCTACAAACACTATGTGTACTAACCATTCGTTGTAGATCACTTTTTATGTGTTAAGGAGAAGTCAATAGTCTGGACGATTGGACGGTGTGATTAGGACTTAACAGGAAACCAGACGTTTTGATCGTCAGGCTATATGACAAAGTTTATTTCATTTGAAAGAGTTATAAGTCATGTAGTAAGAAGAAAGGAAAAAGAAAAGGAGAGAGACAGAGGCAGAGCAGCAGAACCCTGAGGAACACCAGCTGCAGTAAGCAAAGCAAGGCAGAAGAAGACTCATCATTACACACAGTTTACTTCACTCTACCAGAGAGAAATAAGAATACAACAAGTTAATCCATCTTGTATTCTATCCAAAGTATGACATAATAATCTGCTATGCTTTTTCTCTGTTTTCTGCATCTTATGTGAAAATGTGGCAACGAATACATAAGACGATTCAAAATGTAAATTGAATAATGTAAACAACATGAAACTAAATTTCACTAATGCTCACTAGCGACTGGCCTTATTTAGACAGTTACCTGGGGTTCTAGTGGAAAGCTGTGACCACTCTAGGTTACAGCAGGTTGAAAGCGAGGATATTTACGCATCGTAGAAGACATTGGCTAGTGGTCGCGCTATGTCATGAATTGGCTGGCAGAAGTTGGAATTCATGGGCTGGTTGGCTGGCTGTTTGGCCATTGGGTCGTTTCTCAGTGGCTGAATAGTCTACGAGCTCACTCGCTCGCCTTGTAACCAGAAGGTGCTGGGTTCGGACCCTGGTGGTGAGTGCGTACTCTCTGCAGAGTTCCAAACTAGGCTGACGAAAAAGCTGTCCAATACTCTCAGGTTGTCAGCTCATGATGAAGTCCTCCAACCGATGAAATTAGATACATTTTGACATAAGAAAAATTAGGCAACTCAGTGATTTCAGCATGCTGCTACTGTAACGACAGAAGACGGAAAGGCCAGGCAACAGCACGTTTATTGAGAAAATCAACAGATGTTTATAGATTTTTATGTAGATTATTATTAGAGTTATTGTGAGCAAAGAAGCAACGTCTTCTGATTGGTTGTTTTCTTGCTGAAAGTTATTCTATCTCTTTGTAGCCAATTCTTTGAAGGTCAGGCCATATATATATGCGAATTGTATCCGCCCACGCAAAGTCTGCTGTGATTGATTGTTGAGTTAGTCTTTGTTCCTGTTCTTTTCTCATGACCAATATTTGGGACGTAAACATTGACGTAAATTGGTGTCTATCCGATTTTGGCTAGCAGACTGCACTACCAGTTACTAGCATAGTATGCATCATTTATACCGTGTTAAGGGATCTAAAGGTGAAGTTGTGTTTCGGGGCGAGTAGGTGGTGTGGTTTAACGACAGTTAGATGTGCTATCCGCAGACTACCAGAAATTCAGTTATTCTGCCTTTATTTTTGCTTTTATTGAACGACTATGCGGTAAGTTATAGTTCAACTCGTAGCCAACACCTTCCAGAAATCTCACCCTAGTGTACTAGGCAGGTGGTTGGGAGGAAGCTCTTCGGAAAAAAGACAGGTTGGGTGTGTGAGAAGTGCTAACAAGTCTATTCCGCGTAACCACACCCCCAACGGCTTCTCAAAACTTCACGGCTCTCAAATCATCAATCTCTTGGTATCTATTCAACTGAAAACACATTTCATATTTCTAATGAATCTCACTTTATGTTTTCTTTTTGTTATTGTTTATTTTTCAGGAGAAATTCGTCCTTAAGTTTCAATTTTCTTTTGTGTTAGACGGTGAAGCTATCCTAGAGTCTGGAAATTCAATCTACCTTCTGCATAATCACACAGTCCCCCCGCACCTATCCTTCCATTTTCTGTGTGTGTGTGTATGCGTGCGCGCGCGTGCTTGTGTTAGTGTACTTGATTGCTGATTGGGCAGTTTTTTCACAAGTCTCTTTCTATGGTAACATACAGTATTATACATAATAGAAACATTACATGCGAACGGATTCGTCAACAACTACTACATATTGTGATTGATTTCGCTATCTTTCGTGACTTATTTCTTTTGACCATACATTTTTGAGTTGACACCTAACTTGACTTCTGTTTTTGCTCTTCGATTTGTTTTGGTCCTCGTTTTTCCGTTAATATTGCGGAAAAATGGTTTTATGACGTGTACTTGTGTATGACAAAATGAAATAAAGAGTAATATATATTGTGATAAGCGTGGTTTTTCAAAACATTTTATTGTTCTTTGCTTTGTTTTTGTGTTGTTTTTTAAATATTTTTCATATGTTTCATATTTTGGATCTCTCTGATCTCAGTTTTTGTTTTCCATTTTTTCCCATTTCTCTTATCCGCCTTCCCCCCATTTTCATGCCTGGAAATGTATACAGAAGTGCGTTTTCATTTATACACCTCCCCCCTCTCTCTCTCTCCCGTCCCCCAACACACGCAATGTGATTGCAATATATAACATTGAGTGACTTATTTGATGTTTTTTTTCATTTGTACTACTTCTTTATAAATGAGTAGTATAATGTTAATTAGGTAAATTTTATTCTTGAGGTAATGATAAAAATGATGATGCTAGGAGGCGAAGACTTTTTATTTTCGTTGTCCTGTATGCATATCACTTCTTACAGACTCGTCTTACGAAAGAAGACATTGAATAACTAGTCATAGGGAGTTGATTGGCCTCTTATGGTCAACAAACTGAAATATATTAATCAGAGAGAGAATGAGGTAATGCATAATGCATGATGGCCACGTTCCCCCTTGATGATTAGCAGATCTTTACTTTGACCATGTTGACAACACGGATCAGCTAATTATGGCCTTTTATCCACTGCGTACACTTCAGGTGTAGTCTGAGGTGAGGTACGCTGTTTGTGAAATTCTTGATTATTATTATTATTATTCCCTTTGGTTCCGAGTTGAACATCTGGCTCTAAAAACAACACGTCTTCACTTTCTTCTATTTGATGCTGTCCTCTTCAACACTGGCTAGGTCCACAACTGACCATGATCTCTCATCTCCCCTCTTTCAATTCACACTGTCTCCTGTATGTCACCCTTTTGCTTCGCGTGCTACACGGAATGTGGCGACTTGAACTTCCGCACATTTGTGCAAAGCTCTATGTCGAAAACAGACAGACAGACAGACCCTCCCACTGATGACCCGCTTGTCGCTTCCGTCAGGATTCCACCCGAGCGATGGCATGGCCTGACGCGCCATGTCATTCGATGGTTTCCTCAATGTGTATGCCAGATTCTTTTATCTCCATTTTATTCTGCATATATGTTGATCATTAGACTGTTGGTTGGTTTGTTCTTAGCCAGAGTTTCTTGTTACTAATTTTTTTTCTAGTCCACTGAACGTCCATTTGATCTTCAGAATGGAACCGACCAGCTAGGCTGGCGCAGCTGTTGATAAATGTCTGTAAGTTGTTGGAAATCAATTTTTGCGACACACTCGCCAAGTTTCTGACTCGTATAGAATCACTAACTGACTTCACACTGGTGTTGAAAATCCAAATCATTTTCTTGATGATGCTGGCTGAGTGCAAAAGATTTCCAAACTGGTTTCATGTTGTTCCATTTGGTGCTGTCATCTTCAGCTGGGTCCACAATCTCCTGTAGTATCTCATCTCCTCCCCCTCCCCCACACACCCTAGCCCAACAAGATATCCCCCATGTCACCTTCGCACTGACGACCTACTCATCGCTTCTTATTGGGATTCCATTTGAGTAATAGCCTGCATAGCTCGCGGTGTCATTCGACGGGCATCCTCAACGTATGCATATTCAGATATCAAGTTTTTGGTTTTTGTCATGAAACGAGTGGGATCACAAATTCCTCCTCCTCTTGTTCTGTCTTCTGTCTCTACACTGATTCTCACAAGCTTCTTGTGACTTCTTGAAAATAATGATGTAATCAACCTTCGTCTTGCCTTTTCCACCTTCCCCGTCTTTGGTTTCCTTTCACGATTTGTCTCTTCTTCTCTTCTGTGTTCTGATTTTTTAACTTAGTTTGCTTTCATAAGGTTAGTTTCTGATCTAACTGGCCAACTTTTTCTTCCCTTTCTGATTTGACCTTCCTTTCATGGGGGATAATTATAATAAAATGGATAGGTTTCAGGATTTCATCATGAGCTGACAGTAGTTAGAGAACCATTGGAAAACCTGGGAGTACTGGACAGCTGTTTCGTCAAGCTAGTTTGGGACTCTTCAGCAGTACGCACCCACCGGGATTCGAACCCAGGACCTTCTGGTTACAAGGCGAGCGAGCTCGTATACCATTAAGCCACTGGGGCCCGATCCAATGGTCCTTGAATTCTAACTTGTCGTGAATTGGCAGAAGTTAGAATTCAAGGACCATTGGATCGGGCCCCAGTGGCTTAATGGTATACGAGCTCGCCTTGTAACCGGAAGGTCCTGGATTCGAACCCCGGTGGGTGCGTACTGCTGAAGAGTCCCAAACTGGCTTGACGAAACAGCTGTCCAGTACTCCCAGGTTTTCCAATGGTTCTCTAACTGATGTCAGCTCATGATTAAATCCTCCATGAAATAAGACTATGTCAAAAAAGTTTCTGAATATATTCAAACGGGTCCATATGAAGAAATTAAGAAGCCTGTAGACACAATAATTAAATAAGGTTAAGAAATCTACAGCAGAACTAATACGCAGAATGAAGCCGTCACTGGGTGAGTCAAAATGGTTTAATTTAATGCCTAAAACCAATAATACTAGTAGAATGTATGGTACTATTAAAATACATAAACCAGGGTACCCCATACGACGACCAATAGTAGATTTTAGAAATACCCTTACTTATGAATTATCAAAACACACTTAGCTCTAATATTATTATGTCTCATAAGAAATCTTTCAAACTCTAGACTAACTAACTAATTCATATGAGATGAAAAATAAACTAAACGACATTCAACTGGCGAATGATGAAACTATGGCTAGTTTTGATATAACTAGTCTTTTATGCTAATACACCAGTCAACTGTGTGATTTATCAAAATAAAATTGTTAGGAAGAGGCGAAAACACATGCAATTATCAGGTCATTATCATGTCTCAGTCAGGTTATTAGCGTGTTGTTGACATGCATTTGTTTCTGCTTTCTGATTGGACGCTTGCACAATTCCAAACTCTCAACCGGATTGGTTGATTTTTTAATCTACCTTATTTTTGTATAAATACAGTCACTTTTGTCATAAATAAAAATGATCATGGTTTTACCGGTGATTCTCGCGTGATCTGCTTTACCAGTTAAGTGGGCACTGGTCAGTAGTTCAACAGTTACCTCGTGACAAAAGATCTAGCATCATAACGAAAATCTTATCCATAATGGAGCCGTTTTCCATCCCCACCCCTTTTCTTTTTATGAATATTATCTCACGAGTGGTAAGAAGTCTACATGATTGAGTATTTGAAATCAATTTATTCTGTGTGTGTGTGTGTGTGTGGGGGGGGGGGGCGGGTGGTAGAGAGAGACAAAGATTTACTGTTATATTTCTCACACAGAAGGTGAATTTTTACTTGTTTTATTGAGATAAGGGATAGGGGAGGGCATGCAGAGAAAATTCTATGCAACTGCTTGCTTTCTTCGTGTAGCATTGCAGAGATTATTAAATGTTAGGCGATTGGAAGTGTTGGACTTTGATTCTTTTTATAATTGTAAGAACCCTGAAGAGGAGGAGGAATTTTACTGAAAAAAATATTCTTCGTTCAGATTGACTATTAGTCAAATTCATGCATAATGGGAATATTCCACACTATTAAATATGATGTAGGTTGACCGGAGGATAGATTTGCTCCATCATCAATACTGACAGACTGAAAGGTCAGATGAATGATTCTGTGTGTGTGCGAGTTACATGTAATCCACAATTAATACAATAATAATGTCTAAAATACTGTTTGAGGGGATAGAATCAACACTAATAAACATATTTTTAAAATACGGAACTACCTCAACGATGTCGTCCATCATCTTTGCAGTCCAAATCCTCTCTGATACAAAATCCACACGGTATTTTACAAAATTGAATTGATCAGTTACAATTACAAAATTACCTAAGGATCGATCCTTAAAATATATGCCCAGCAAGGTGGGAGCAGAGCTCAGTCTACAGAAATCAAACAGAGAACAAACACGTTTTTTGCAGATAGTCCATGGAATAAAATAACCTTCGCCTAACTCACATAAAATTTTAGAGGTGGAACGAGACAGCAGGAACACCATTACAAAAGACAACTGAGAATCAATAAAATTAGCGATCAACTAAAGATAGATGATAAGGTCAAACCGAAAAAGGGGACATTCAAACATAAGAGCGTTGTTGATATGCGGATTAGGGGAAATGGTTAGTAATTACGAAGCTATTTTTTTCAAGCGTTAGTGTGTAGGGATTTGGTTAATATCAGTAAAAAAAACCTTGGAAAACTGAGAAGTACTGAACAGTTGTTTCGTCCAAGCTTGGAATTACAAAGAAGTACACGCCTCGCCAGATTTCGAACATAGGACCCTGGGGGTTACAAGGCTAGCTTATAGACAGTTCAACCATTGGGATGCGATCCAATGGTGGCCAGCTCATGAGTTCTAACCACTACCAGTTCGTGATTTTCGTGCAAGCACTAACTGAATATTTGTCGGGGCAAGTCTTTACACCCAACCCTTGACTGACCTCGCTTGTCATTATTTCTCAAGGGAACTTCAGTCACAATTTCATCCGGCGGCATGCTTAAATCATTGAAGGACTACAACCAAAATTTACATTCATCAAAATGCTGCCTTAACTCTTCTGGTTCGGGCACACACGTTGAGGAGGATGTCGAATGACATCGCGCGTTAGGTAAGGCCAATTGCTCGAGTGGAATCTGAATGGGAAGCGATGATTGAGTGGTCGGTGAGAGGGTGACATGGAGGATATCGTGTGTTGGCGAGGAGGAGATGAGAGATTATGGTCAGTCGTGGACCTAGCCAGCTGGAGAGGACAGTACGAAATGCAACAAAGTAGAGATGTGTTGTTAAAGCCCTGTTTTCCACTTGGAACCCAGGGGAATAGTAATATACACTATACTTACGGAAGCCTTCGAAGTGACGACGGGAGTGCGATAAGGCTGTCTACTATCACCAATGATCTTCCTGATTGCAGTAGATTGGATAATGCGACAGACAACGGCAACCAACGAGGGAACAGGCATAAAATGGACTCACACAAAAGAATTTGATGTTCTGCATTTCCCCGATGATATATGTCTGATTTCCCACAAACTGGAAGATATGCAAGTGAAAAACAACAAGCTAGCCAAAGAAGAAGCATCAAAGATAGGACTCCAAGTAAACATCGAGAAAACAGAGGTGATGAAGATTCCTAGCCAACATCAACAACAACAACAGACAACAATCAACCTGCATAAATGCGAGGAACCTGAAAGAAACAACCTCCTTTAACCACCTACCTACCTACCTGGAAAGCACCGTTTCAACTACAGGCGGACTCGACTGACGAGAATATCAAATTGAGGATCGGGAAAGCAAGACAAGCTTTCATTACTCTCAAATC